GAAAATAGTGATGTCATCTGGATATTCGGCAATTATGCTTTGTTTTTTGTATATAACAATGTAGAACAAGAATTCCATTCTCATTTTATTTCAATAAGTATAATCACAACAAACCGTTACACAAAAGTATGTACAATTTTAAATTTCAATTACAGAAAAATTGATTTTTATGTATAGTCGAAAATATTGAATAATGTCACCTAAACTTTTTCAAGTTCGTCTCTATATTATCCGACATGCAGAATCAGAAATCAAAGCTGCTTCCACTCATATTTGCGGTCAGAATATTCCATGTATGTTAAGTCCACTTGGCAATGAACAAGCAATGTTTTTAGGCAGAGTTTTATCATAGACATATTTCTTTATTGTTATTGGTTTTTTTTTGATTCATAGGCAAACGTTTAAAATATCAAAATATCAAATTTGATTCTATTCTATGTTCAACAGTTGTTCGTGCAGAACGAACAGCAGAAATTGCATTAAAAACTATGAATATTGACATATCAAAATTAATCATTTCAAGTGAACTTCTAGAAGAATCTCAAGGTAGTTGGGAAGGTATGAGTCGAGCGTTAGCTTTTACTCCAGAAGTAATACAACAATGGAATGAATTACATTTTGAATTCTGTCCTCCAAATGGTGAATCAAAACGAATGGTACAAAAACGTGCTTTGGCTTATCTAGAACCAATTATTGAACAAGCAAAAAATAAAAAGTCTAGAAGAAAATCGTGAAATATCAATTGGTATTTTTACACATGCAAATTTAATACAATCTATATTACAATATTATTTACAAAGTAATCCAAAATATGCATGGCTTATTAAACAAAATAATACAGCAATTAATGAAATTCTATTAAATGAACATGGAATATCTGTTGTTAAAGTAAATGATGATAGTCATTTGAGATTTTTAATTCCAGAAATGCAAAATGAATCATTAGACAATCTATGATTATGAACAGATAAATAGTTGATGTTTTTTTTCTTGTTTAATAATTTGAATTAATGAAAAATGTAATAAATATATCGGTTTTGTTTTAAATTGTAACTATTGTCAAAGAAATGTAAGAGAGACTCCTGACTTGAAACCATTTCAAATCAGGATGTGAGTATAGATAATTGTTTCACTGACACACATACATAATTACCTCACGTCATAAATCAATACAAATAAATCTAACGTTTTCTTTGACTTGTTCAGTGGTTTGTCAATCGTATTG